ACTACCCTTGTCTCTTGAGTTCTCGCCTGGCTAAACAAAGTAATCTCGGAACATTGAAAACATCTACACCACACCGTTATTATTGCAGCCCAGACCACCGTGGTTCAGTCAGATTCCAGCGCACACCACCGCGCGCATCGGTGGCTTCGTTCCCGTGTCCCCACACTCAATTTAGATGAAAATAATCTCCAAACCCTAGGCGGGGCCGTCCATAGGGGAGGCGGGGGGTTGCGGGGCCCAGGGAAATCACACTGTGTGGGCCCCCCCCCCCCAACGCCTTCAAACCAAACCGGACGTATTACATCTGACACCGTGGCGTCGAAGCACGGGGCCTGGGGCTGTCATCCCGATTTGACGTGTGCCCTAGGGATGGCTCTGCCCACAGGACTCCCGACCACTCGGCCGTAAATGTCTCATGCCGTATGTTTGATTGTTTTCTTCGTTTTACCATGATGTGCACGTCCCCACATTGTTGTGGTTGGTCCCCCCCGAGGGTGAGCGAACGTTTATTGGTCTGAACAGGGCACCCCCTCGCTCGCTCGCTCGCTCACTCGCTCGCCGAGCCGTCGAAATGTGCGGTCATTCATGCTACAGACGTACAGCTGTGAGCAGTTTGTGCACAGTGCTCGAACAAATATCAAGTTAGCGCAATAATGTGAGAGTAATTAATGAAATTGGACACTGGTCAATTGGCTGCTAACGTTTCTAATTAAGTTATATGAAAACGAAAAATCAATTAAAACTGGGGGGGGGGGGCATTTCCTAACACAGTTCACCTACTAGTGCCATGTGGTCGTGGTTAATACCCCTTTGGTAACGTCTGCCACACGGCATGAGGTTTACCCAGCGTCTACTCTTGAAACATGCGACGGAAAATGTTTTGCTGCTGACAAAGGTAAAGGAAATTTTAATTTTCAACGAAAGGGAAAAGCACAAACTAAACTTCTCTGGCACCAGAGCTTCCAGCTACACATTTCATTCGACCTGAACGTAACCATTGTGCTGGGATTCTTGCCTCCAACAATATGTTATAAATTGTAGGCACGTTTAAAGAAACCAGTGGTCATCATTGTGCTGAGCTGTCAATATCACAAACGGGAATCGGCGGAAGGTGAACGGCTCGTGGTGGTGTGAACCGACGAGTCTAGTAATGCACATCTGGAAGAAGGCCTCCCACACCCGCAGGCTGTGGCACTCTGCTGCTGTCGCGTACCAGTTGAGGGTAACCGGTGGCATAGTCGGTCAAGTTGTACTATTAAACTGTAAACAACTATTTTTATTTGACCAGGTAAGGCCCACTGAGCTATGTAGCTCTTTTTCAGAAGCAATTTGGCCACAAATGATAGCTCGACGAAAGAGCTCATCACATGGAAATGTATAGCAGCCAAATACTCTAAACACGTGATGTTGATTCTAAATGTAGAGGGCCAAAACCGGAGGACCTGGAGAAAAATCCACGCGACCACGGGGAGAGAGACATGCAAATATACAGGTGGCAGGGTTGGGATCGATCCCAGGACCTCCTGTATACCAGTCGAGGTAGTTAACATCTCGCCACTGTGGCGCCCTTGCACTGGGTTTATCAGTGGGGCTGCGCTTCGGAGTGTTCGGCTCACAATAAAGTTTTGTGAATGTTGAAGTTATCGGTACTGAAGGCCTCAGATTGGGCGTGGATAAAGGATAAAGCGAGGTCTTTTGGAAGCGACCACGTGGCTTGTAAAATGCCTCCATGCTTCAGGTGGACAACATTTTTGCTCTTGCAGAAGTTCCATTGTAACCAGATATATTCTCTCTCTCTCGCAAACGTATTCCATTTGTGAATCGTGTCGTCACAGGATGAATACATTGCCATCCAGAACTCTTGCAGTGAGCAGTGTTGCTACCTTGTGTCTTCGAAGGGCCTCTAGAAGATGACAGCACAGTTTCTTAATTCGCACAAGTAGACCTCAAGCCGTACTGGGGACGCACCATTGATATGCCCTGCAAACAAATATTTGTCACGTGCCAATAAAACCGGAATCCGTAATAAAACCAGAATGTTTAGTCCTGAGAGCAGTAATATGCTGTATAAGTGAAACAAACTATATCATAATGTAAAGAGTTTTTTGTACAATCAATGGTGACCAGTTTGATATCACCGACTCACTACACTACACTGGGTTCTCCCCACTTCAATTATGAGTGATGCACAGATTCGAACCCAGAATCTCGGCCGTGCTTTATCAGTCCTCTGACATGGTATAAGTCTCCTCAGCCAACTGGTCGCTTCCCAAGTCAAGGGAACTTAACATTTGAAGTGAACAGAGGGTGACCTTGACATATTTCCAGTTTAAAGGATGAATAATTAAAAGTAATTAGTCACGGAAGACTCACTGGGTCTCAAATCAACAGCAATACGCCTGCTTCACATATCTCTCCCTGAACATTAAAATTTTATTATAGTTTGTTTACATATCCAGTCAGCCACATGACCTGGGAATGCATCATTTCACCAGCTTTGGTTCAACACGAAAATGCATTCAGTGTCTCATCAGCAAAATTGGACTTGAACCAATGCTGGTGTACTGTCATGTTTATAGGCAAGGGATCTGTTTTGGATATAGTCGCAGTCTCAAGATCATTTTAGCTGGGTTGTGCCAGTTCCATTTTGATGATTATTTTGTGGTTGGAAGGAAATCAGAGTACCCAGAGAAAGCCCACCCATTGGCGTGGATAGCACTAAAAGGCGGACACATATGGGTTTGTATGCATGTATGTTCAACATCTTTCGCACCATACGTAGCCAACCATGCTAATCGGAGGTGCAGAGGAAAGGACAACAAACTAAACACAAAGCATTTCTCAAGAAATTCGTTTTCAGTCTCGATTGAAAAGTGCATAGCTCCAGTGGCTTCCTTATATCGGAAGGAAGAGCATTCCAGACGGCCACTGAAGCGCATCTGAAAGCACGCGATGCAGTGCCCCGTCTGTGTTCGATGGCTCACCAAAAAAAAACTTGCTGTCCTGCCATGTAATGGCCATCTGGCAACCCGTGTGTTGATGTGATCCATAAAATTGCCTCTAAAGCACTGAATCACGGGAGAGCAGCGCCCCAGTACAATTAATTATTACATATTTAATTAAAATACTCTTTGGTTATTTTGGTAAAGTCACGTAGAAAATCAAATAATAATAGAATACGACGTTTCGATTGCAACACAAGCAATCGTCATCAGGTAAGAATGAATGAGAAAACAAACAACATAGTAAACTTATACCCCACCTGGCTGACCACGCTCCTCCAAAGAATGACGAACAGAAAGACAGCGCCACTGTGCGGAGGCCTTAAATAGAGAGGGGGGGAGGGGTTGGGGCAGAGAGAAAGGGGGGATTGGTGCAGCGGACAGTGAGAAAGTTGTGTGGACTCCGGACCGTAGTAGCCGGCGGAGAGACAAATCTAGTTTGTTTCAAGTAGTTAACTACGTCGTTTACATTGCAATGTTTTATCAAAAGTATTTTTTTATCTGTAATTTCATTGGTGTGGGTTGAGATTTGTTTTATGTATTTGATGTTACACAATGAAATGACTGTGTACTTATTTACATGGCAACTTGCATCATGCTCATCAGTATGTGTGCTGGAGAGGTGTTGAGAGTGTTGTATATGGTCTTGTAGTGTGAGCGTGGCAGTATTGCAGGCAAGTATTCACACTCATATGGACACACGTACACTCGCTCGCACGATACACGTACATTTTAATGTTATTCTCTGCCTATGATCAAATCACTGAGAATATGATTATCTTATCTTAACGGAATGTACGTCGAGCATTCACCAAGGTGCTTTACCAAGAATGTACAACGGCACAACGTGTGGATGTAGTGGCGGAGACGAGGTGAATGAAATTGATGAGAGGAAGCAGTGGGGGCAAATCTGTGATGATGCGGGAACTCGGCGAGAGAGAAATTGATGACAGTCGATGACGACGACGATGACGACGATGATGATGATGATGACGATGATGACGACGATGATGACGATGATGATGACGACGATGATGACAATGAATGAATTGAACGAGCTTGACGTCATCAAAGCTCAGAAGCTAAGCTGGATTGAGCCTAAATAGTGCTTGGATGGATGACCACCATGCATAACAGGTGTTACAGGCGGGGGGGCAGCAGAGGGCAGTGCGGCAAAATCAGTTGTCGCGTTACTTCTGTGCTTCCACGCGCATGCTTACCCATCATCAAAAACCGGCACTGATCAGCGCGGTGAAGTATGGTCAAAAGACCCCCACCACGCACTCACTGATCTGACTGTGCGGTAATGGTTAGTACGCTGGGCTTGCAATCCCGAGATCGCTGCTCTCCTTTTGCAGCCACTGAAATGGCGACATTTATTAAATACACCCAGCACCATGAATAGGTACACCTAGGCCCGAAGCTGGTCCACGCGTGGTGGGGTAAAGTGTGAGTGCGCCACCTCTTCCAATACATCTGGCCGGTGTGGAAGAGTAGGCCAAACACCCTTTGAAATGGGTTCTCTAGAGCTCGAGCAGCATTAGCAAACAATTGTTGTATTATTGTCGCATTGCACCCAACCCGGGCAGGCGTGGGCAGACCGTCATCCGGCAGTTAATTAACATGTTCATGTCCAGGGGTCGGAGACCCGCGGTTTCAGAGCCACATGTGGACCTTTAAGGACGGCCTCGTAACGTTGCTCACGTGCAATTGCGCACCTCCGATTAGCACGGTTGGCTACGTACGATGCAGAAGAAGTTCAACGTACGGTACATACATTGGCAGCTCTTGAAATGTGTTGAGTGTCTTCGAAACAAAATTGGCTCCTCTCGTTGCTCCGGTTGCCGACCCCCTGTTCATGTCCAATACAAAGTAGCGTCACATGGCTGCCACGTGGTCCAAGTGTCCGAGCGCGAGGGGTGAGCCCCCCTTCTGTGTTGTGCATTGCGCCGTGTGAAGAGTGGAAGGGAGTGACACTGTCTGGCCCCCCCCCTCTAGGTTACTCTGGCCCCGAGCAGTAGCTGCGCCGCTTGCGACCTCTGGACGCTGCTCCTGCCACTGCTCGCAACGTAGCGCCGCTGGGAATCGCAAAACTCAAGCCTCTGCTGGGTCGACGCGCTTTGCTTCGCACTCCTGCCACTCAACTTCTTCTCCTCCTCCCTTCTGCCACTGCAGTTTTTTTGGTGTTTCTTTTACATTTTTGTGGTCATACGGTTTTTTTTTTTTTAGCTTTAGTAGATTGCCTTATTGAACATTGCTGTTGACGGTTCGTTACGCTCTGTGTCCCGAGAGTTAAAGGTTACATTGAAGTGCAAGTCTAGAGAAATGTGTGTAATCATAAAGTTGTGCTTTTACTGTCTAGGCACTCGTGCTTGCAGAAATTACACTTCCACCACCACCACTGAACTTTGTCATGTACATGCACCTGCACTGCTGCAAAAAAATGTGTTTGCCCAGCTAGCAACATTTGGCTCTGCTTCCTGGTGCTTTCGCTGGCCTGTATACTGGGTCTTCAACGTGTACAGACATACAACTGCACACCCGCTGCACATTTCCCACCGCCTTCTGTTGAGAAGGGTTTTTTTTATTATTATTGTTCATGCACATGATTTTTGCTGGGGGATTGATTTTGCCGGTGTCCTTTTTTCGCGCTTGGTTATGGGATGCTGAAAGTCTTGTGTGGTTTTTTTTGTGCTCGGATTCTCCGCAAGCTCATGCAGGGTGCGCATGGTGCCCACGTCCCCGTGACCAACCCAGGCCTTCGCTCTTGTCCCCCTTTTTCCTAAACAGGAACGCGTCCCAACCATTACCACTGGCTCTCCCACGAAGTAAAAGTTTCATTGATAGGGGACATGGCAAGCATTGTTTTATTGTCTTGAAGTGATTCCCTAAAATGGGTTTACAGAATTTTAATTTCATACTGGGAACATTTGAAACTGGAGGGTGCAGTTTTAGTTTGCAGCCCCATATTTTAGGGCATGAAATTCCGTGCCGAGTTATCCTTACACCTCGCATGCCCTGTGCGTGGGTCCCATGTGTGTATTTTCTTGATGGCAAATGTAAGAATCAAATTAATATATTGCCAAGTATCGTGCACCTCACCCTTTGTATTGCATTAAAGACCCGTATTTGACAACACCCAGGGTTGACAGTTGCACATTTGTACTGCCCTTAAGACATCGATGTCAGAAAATGTTTCTGTACAAAAGTAGGCAATTACTCTCGTGTTGCAAGCGACGGATGACACAAGCCGTCCACTCCAGTGTCCCAAACTGTGTCACAGTTGAGCTTTCTGATGTGTCTTTGGGTTGTACCGCGTTATTGTTCGGCATGATGTCCGACGTTTCGCTCCACGTGCCGGGAGCTCCTTTTAGAACTGAATTAAAGCTCTCCGTACATGGAGCAAAACTGAGTTGAGTTTGTGAAGCCTATGGCGCATGTATCGAAATGTCAGCTAAGCATGCGGTACAACCCAAAAATACATCGGGAGAGCTCTACAGCACAACTGTGAACATGCACGGAGTTGAATACTATCGTTCATATTCAGAACTTGCTACCAAATTTGATGCGGGAACTCATTTCTATAACAGCATTTGTCTTGCAGCTGTCAGCCATTCATTTGATTTCCATAAGCAGTAGAGCCCCCATTACAGGCTCACATTCATAACAGTCATGCGTACACGTTGTGAAATCATCTGTGCGGCGAATACATGTTCTCTGTTCCTGGGAATTGCTTGCTGATAAAAGTGCTCACTTAGCGTGTCCGAGTGAGGCCAGTTGCCTCGGTTGGACAACGCTAAGACTCGGCCAATGCAGTTTGCCTCTTGTGTAGCAGTGTAAAGATTTTCTCCAGTTCCCTTCTTGCTAAGTCAACAACAAATCGCTCGTTTTCACTTCATGCTGTCGGTAAGTTCCTCTGGGCACAACAGGGTCACAGAGAGGACAAGATACTCCAGACTTAGGTCAAATGTACACGTGTATAGCTCGCTCGCTCCAATGCCGCTCCACAGCCAAGTTGCTTGGGACTTGACAGGGACACGGGACTGAAGGTGCATTATCGTGTACCGAATTCTACGGGGACAAAAATTGCCGAGCGATAGAGACGTGGATTGGCGTGGCCTGGAGTCACCCCGTCCGGCTCGCCCTGTCAAGGCCAACGAGATGGCTTGCGTCCTGCAGCATTGTTACCATGCCAGGCAGAAGCAAGAGACGAGCGGGGGTTGGTCGAAGTCGTTTTATTATGAAAGCGGGAGGCGTGAAAAGGGGGTATCTGTTGGCCGAAGGGAGGCCACCTCTTGCTCGCGTGAGCAGCTTCGGCGAAATGCAGCTGCACCAACATGCCCCTTGTGAATGGAGCCGAGAACTCGGGGGACACCCTTGCCTCGGGCTCCTGTGGGCCGTGGCAAAATTAATCGGCTTTTAAGATATAAAGAATGTGCTGTAAAGAATCGTTCCAATGTCGAGCCTCTTAGCATAAATGTTAGCGTTCGGTTACAACTGTAGCGGTAGCAAATGCATTTGTAAAAGCTTACAGGGATGTCGCTTTTTGTGTCGCGGGCTCAAACTGGTAATCCAGACATTGGTCCAGTCCTGGACATTGGTCCAGTCCTGGCCCAACGCAGTGTGTTGACTGAATTATACCACACTGGGCCCTTCCTGGCAGAACTCTGTCCACGCTCGCTTCCTAGAGTAGTCGTGTCGGACCGCGTCGCCGTCTGGTTAAGTTTATTGTGTTGATAGGGAGTGTCGGCTGGTTTGAAAGCGCCGCGCCTGTAATTTCCTTTGTTACTTTTACTAATACATGTTGGTGGATTATCATAGTGAGGTGCTTTTGTGGGTGCGGGTCTCTTGACGACAAAGTTTTAAACGCAACTCCCCCGGCACAGTCCTCAGTTCTGAGTCGAATCATTAACGACGTTTACATGCGACCACCCTGCAGAGCGTCATCCTGCGCAGAGGGGTTACTCTCACATGGAATAGCCCTAGAGAAGATGCTGAGCTCCAACACCCTGCATTGCCTGCACGTGGCTCTGATGTTAGGTTCAACTTTGAGGTGGCCCACAAATCCAGTCTCAGGTAACGAATCCAGGATGTGTGTTCGTGTTCAGTCAATCCACAGTTAGGTGAAACCCCACGCCATTTGGGATGTGGGGGTTAATTGATTATACTTCTTCACCATGCTGGTCAATGTGGGTTGGTGAAGATGGGGAGCATTTAAGTACAACACCGCAACAGTTTAATGTATTGCACACGGTATTGCACACGGCTTACATGGTGCTCATTCGTCCAATTACGTTGCAGGCTGAAGCCTGCTTAGCACAATCCGCCTGATTTGGTCATAATCTCACATGCTCTTTGAATTGAACACAATTTGGGCTGGATAAGAGGCCACCACGGATGCATAACTGCAGGGGTTCTTTCACTCCACTCGTCACCTCATCACCTTGCTCGTGTTACCTGCAACTGGAAGGAAAGGGCTGGAATCACCTCAAACTGGAACCACGTGGGCCACATTTCAGAATATCGAAGGCAGATATTTATCAAACACCACGTTGTACATTGGGCATTCAAATGCAAAAAGGACAACGTATGTTTACCGGCACAACGTCGGTTCACACAGTCTCGTCGCCTGAGCCGACTTCGGTGCGTCAAGAGCCAGTGCGTGATTGACGCGCGGAGATGATATCAGCTGCTGTGTTGGTTCATGCTCCGCGCCGGATGAGGCTGTGTTGGTTGGCTGTGCGCGGGGGGGGGCGAGCTTCGGGCGCCACAGCCGTGCACAGGCGACTCGTGTTGGCGCTTTGCGAGGCTGAATTTACGGTGACAAAAGGTGCAGATTTAGGAGGTCTGGTTTTTTTTTGCGTGGTTCGCGTGCAGTCGACAACATTATTCAACACGCGGCGACTGCTTTTAAATCACGTGGACGTGAAAGCGCCAGTGACGTCTCGCACACATTCGGGGGCTCGCAGTGTCGCGCACCGCGTTAACTGGGTTCCGAATCACCGTTTACCCAATAAGTCTTTAATTATATTGACGTTTTGGGAGGTGGGGGGGAGTCGATAGGACATACACACACGTTCTTCCTAAAACCCATCATCCTTGCATAAAGATACATTTGAAATGCAAATGTCCTTTGTGTTTTGTTGAATGCATGTTGGACGCGTTGGATACGTTTTAAGTCGACAAGGTAACACGTGATGGATCACATTTGCTGGCGGTTTTAACTAAGTGGCAACTATAGACAAAAACATTACTCTAATACCAAAGTACACGGGGCGGTGGTTGCAGAGAAACAATTGTGATTTGAAAAATGTGTTCATTTGACACGTGATTTTATAATTTTGATTTCAGTAAGCCGAATTATCGACTTAGTTTAGTTTTTTTCAGTTTATTTATTTTGGAATAGCCCTGTGAGCCATTCGGCTCTTGAATCTGGTGCAACCACAACAAACAAAAAAACTAAAACACGAACAAGAAAAACATCTTCCAGTGACTTTGTGACTTTCGATTTAAAGCTCTCGTGACTGCAAGGATTAATCTTTTTTGGTTCTTTCGGAAAAGTCACGTAGAATGAGAATAAAATAATAAAATTAAATAAGACAATAAAATTCTCACGACGTTTTGGCCACAACACAAGTAGCCCGAAACTGTCGTCCCGACAGTTTTGTTACTTCACCTGAAGAGGGCTACTTGTGTTGTGGCCGAAACGTCGTGAGAATGTTATTGTCTTATTTAATCTTATTATTATTTTATTCTCATTCTACGTGACTTCACCGAAAGAACCAAAGAAGACTATGTGACTGTGAGGATGGAAACCCAGTCAATTGGATACACCTAAAGTCGCTACCTGTGTGTGTGTGACCACTGCGCTTTCGTCATATTCGTATTGGTCCATAGTGAATGCATTACACTCTGTAACACAATTTTTGTTCCTGGGTACTAAGTGCTATTTTTTTAATTGTTTATGCCTAAAAAGCATTGAAAATGGATATTATTCCCCAGAAACTTTGCTTTTGTGACCATGACTTTATGTGAACGAAAGACACAAATGCACACCACGTTTTCTCATTGAAAATAGATACATTTCAAGATATCACTGTCCTGGTCACAAAATGAAAGTTTGTGGAAAATAATAGCTATTTTCTGTACTTTTGAGGCGTAAACAATTAGGAAATAACACTACCCAGGAACAAAAAAAACCATTGTTTTTGTTACACAGTGAATTATCACTGGCAAGGTGGGGTCGTCATTGTCGTTTGGAACTCGGGGCTTGTTAACAAAACTATGGTCCCTTTAAACCTGCCCCCGTGCATCGCTCAACCTTAGCGATGGAAGCGGCACCTCCTTGGCTTTGAAGTTAAATTAATAAAGTTAATTATTTCGCACAAACGTGTGAAGCAATGAAGTCAACTTCCTCGGTGCAAGCGTGGTTGGCTCTGTCGTGGCACGGCGCCCGCGAGTGGTGAACCTCGGCAACACCTTCAGTGAGCCGTGCACACCTTCAGTGAGCCGTGCACACCTTCAGTGAGACGTGCACACCTCCAGTGAGTGGTGCACACCTTCAGTGAGCCGTGCACACCTCCAGTGAGTCGTGTACACCTCCAGTGAGTCGTGTACACCTTCAGTGAGCCGTGCACACCTCCAGTGAGCCGTGCACACCTCCAGTGAGCCGTGCACACGCTTCAGTGAGCCGTGCACACCTCCAGTGAGTCGTGTACACCTTCAGTGTGTCGTGCACACGCTTCAGTGAGCCGTGCACACCTTCAGTGAGTCGTGCACACCTTCAATGAGTCGTGCACACCTCCAGTGAGCCGTGCACACCTCCAGTGAGTCGTGTACACCTCCAGTGAGTCGTGTACACCTTCAGTGAGCCGTGCACACCTTCAGTGAGTCGTGCACACCTTCAGTGAGCCGTGCACACCTTCAGTGAGCCGTGCACACCTTCAGTGAGTCGTGTACACCTCCAGTGAGTCGTGTACACCTTCAGTGAGCCGTGCACACCTTCAGTGAGTCGTGTACACCTCCAGTGAGTCGTGCACACCTTTAGTGAGTCGTGCACACCTTCAGTGAGTCGTGCACACCTTTAGTGAGTCGTGCACACCTTCAGTGAGTCGTGCACACCTCCAGTGAGTCGTGCACACCTCCAGTGAGTCGTGCACACCTCCAGTGAGTCGTGCACACCTCCAGTGAGTCGTGTACACCTCCAGTGAGTCGTGTACACCTTCAGTGAGCCGTGCACACCTTCAGTGAGTCGTGTACACCTCCAGTGAGTCGTGCACACCTTTAGTGAGTCGTGCACACCTTCAGTGAGTCGTGTGCACCTCCAGTGAGTCGTGCACACGCTTTAGTGAGTCGTGCACACCTCCAGTGAGTCGTGCACACCTCCAGTGAGTCGTGCACACCTCCAGTGAGTCGTGCACACCTCCAGTGAGTCGTGCACACCTTCAGTGAGTCGTGCACACCTCCAGTGAGACGTGCACACCTTCAGTGAGTCGTGCACACCTTCAGTGAGCCGTGCACACCTCCAGTGAGTCGTGTACACCTTCAGTGGGTCGTGCACACCTTCAGTGAGCCGTGCTACCTTCAGTGAGTCGTGTGCACCTTCAGTGAGCCGTGCACACGCTTTAGTGAGTCGTGCACACCTTCAGTTAGCCGTGCACACCTTCAGTGAGCCGTGCACACCTTCAATGAGTCGTGTGGACGTGAAAGCGCCAGTGACGTCTCGCACACATTCGGGGGCTCGCAGTGTCGCGCACCGCGTTAACTGGGTTCCGAATCACCGTTTACCCAATAAGTCTTTAATTATATTGAAGTTTTGGGAGGTGGGGGGAGTCGATAGGACATACACACACGTTCTTCCTAAAACCCATCATCCTTGCATAAAGATACATTTGAAATGCAAATGTCCTTTGTGTTTTGTTGAATGCATGTTGGACGCGTTGGATACGTTTTAAGTCGACAAGGTAACACGTGATGGATCATATTTGCTGGCGGTTTTAACTAAGTGGCAACTATAGACAAAAACATTACTCTAATACCAAAGTACACGGGGCGGTGGTTGCAGAGAAACAATTGTGATTTGAAAAATGTGTTCATTTGACACGTGATTTTATAATTTTGATTTCAGTAAGCCGAATTATCGACTTAGTTTAGTTTTTTTCAGTTTATTTATTTTGGAATAGCCCTGTGAGCCATTCGGCTCTTGAATCTGGTGCAACCACAACAAACAAAAAAACTAAAACACGAACAAGAAAAACATCTTCCAGTGACTTTGTGACTTTCGATTTAAAGCTTTCGTGACTGCAAGGATTCATCTTTTTTGGTTCTTTCGGGAAAGTCACGTAGAATGAGAATAAAATAATAAAATTAAATAAGACAATAAAATTCTCACGACGTTTTGGCCACAACACAAGTAGCCCAAAACTGTCGTCCCGACAGTTTTGTTACTTCACCTGAAGAGGGCTACTTGTGTTGTGGCCGAAACGTCGTGAGAATGTTATTGTCTTATTTAATCTTATTATTATTATTTTATTCTCATTCTACGTGACTTCACCGAAAGAACCAAAGAAGACTATGTGACTGTGAGGATGGAAACCCAGTCAATTGGATACACCTAAAGTCGCTACCTGTGTGTGTGTGACCACTGCGCTTTCGTCATATTCGTATTGGTCCATAGTGAATGCATTACACTCTGTAACACAATTTTTGTTCCTGGGTACTAAGTGCTATTTTTTTAATTGTTTATGCCTAAAAAGCATTGAAAATGGATATTATTCCCCAGAAACTTTGCTTTTGTGACCATGACTTTATGTGAACGAAAGACACAAATGCACACCACGTTTTCTCATTGAAAATAGATACATTTCAAGATATCACTGTCCTGGTCACAAAATGAAAGTTTGTGGAGAATAATAGCTATTTTCTGTACTTTTGAGGCGTAAACAATTAGGAAATAACACTACCCAGGAACAAAAAAAACCATTGTTTTTGTTACACAGTGAATTATCACTGGCAAGGTGGGGTCGTCATTGTCGTTTGGAACTCGGGGCTTGTTAACAAAACTATGGTCCCTTTAAACCTGCCCCCGTGCATCGCTCAACCTTAGCGATGGAAGCGGCACCTCCTTGGCTTTGAAGTTAAATTAATAAAGTTAATTATTTCGCACAAACGTGTGAAGCAATGAAGTCAACTTCCTCGGTGCAAGCGTGGTTGGCTCTGTCGTGGCACGGCGCCCGCGAGTGGTGAACCTCGGCAACACCTTCAGTGAGCCGTGCACACCTTCAGTGAGCCGTGCACACCTTCAGTGAGTCGTGCACACGCTTTAGTGAGCCGTGCACACGCTTTAGTGAGTCGTGCACACCTTCAGTGAGCCGTGCGCACCTTCAGTGAGACGTGCACACCTCCAGTGAGTGGTGCACACCTTCAGTGAGCCGTGCACACCTCCAGTGAGTCGTGTACACCTCCAGTGAGTCGTGTACACCTACAGTGAGCCGTGCACACCTCCAGTGAGCCGTGCACACCTCCAGTGAGCCGTGCACATGCTTCAGTGAGCCGTGCACACCTCCAGTGAGTCGTGTACACCTTCAGTGTGTCGTGCACACGCTTCAGTGAGCCGTGCACACCTTCAGTGAGTCGTGCACACCTTCAGTGAGTCGTGCACACCTCCAGTGAGCCGTGCACACCTCCAGTGAGTCGTGTACACCTCCAGTGAGTCGTGTACACCTTCAGTGAGCCGTGCACACCTTCAGTGAGTCGTGTACACCTTCAGTGAGCCGTGCACACCTTCAGTGAGCCGTGCACACCTTCAGTGAGTCGTGTACACCTCCAGTGAGTCGTGTACACCTTCAGTGAGCCGTGCACACCTTCAGTGAGTCGTGTACACCTCCAGTGAGTCGTGCACACCTTTAGTGAGTCGTGCACACCTTCAGTGAGTCGTGTGCACCTCCAGTGAGTCGTGCACACGCTTTAGTGAGTCGTGCACACCTCCAGTGAGTCGTGCACACCTCCAGTGAGTCGTGCACACCTCCAGTGAGTCGTGCACACCTTCAGTGAGTCGTGTACACCTCCAGTGAGTCGTGTACACCTTCAGTGAGCCGTGCACACCTTCAGTGAGTCGTGTACACCTCC